CCAAAATGCACCCAATTAATGCAGTGGGAAATGTATTTAATTTCTATTGTCAAAAAGGTAGACAGCAAAATCAGAGCTGTTCAAATGTTGGTAGCTCAGATAAGTGGATTGCAACCACTTGTTTTGTTTTGTAGTTCAGGCTTTTTTTTTTTTCTGTTGAATTGACTCAGCAGTAGCTTAGATCCTTAACTTGTTCTTTAGGCTGAGGTATAGATCCCCATTTTCCTTCTGGGCCTTTTTATAGATAATAACTCTGTTTCAATTTCTCCCAAGTTTTACTTGAATGTGTGACAAGTGTAGTTTCATTGAAGCAGAAAGGTGTCACCTCTTGTCTCTTCTCCCTTAGCCAAATTATGCACAGAATCAAAAAATGGTGGGTGTCAAAACAATGGTTAAATATGACTTTACTGTGACAACTATTTTTATTTTTCTCATTATGAATGCTATATTTTTAAGTTGTGACTACATTTTTTAATCTCACAGCAAACTGCATTTCTCTAGCATACCCCACAGAAATATCCATTTTTAATGGAGATAACTAGTGAGGTAAACTTGAACACATTCATATTTTAGTGTTTTTTAATGCATATACTGCAGATGTTGTCTTGTCAAACAGCAGAGCAATGCACATGGCAAGTCAGGGATGAGAAATCAACTAGCCTTTCCTGCAGATAATGAGATGTAAATGCTGAACAGAATGTTATTATGTTGTTGTCTTCCTGGGAGAAAATTTGATAGGTTATGCTAGCAAAAAGCTCCATGAGTGATGCTTCAGTGCCTGTCCTGGTCAGTGATGGTTTCTGTTAGTAATTAGGAGCTGACTCATTGCTGTTTCTCTCAAGAGACAAATGTTTCTACAGCTAGTGGCAGAAAATTAGATGGTTTTCCAATATACCCAAGAAAGCTGCCATTTGTACTGTCCTTTGGATAGGTGCAGGGAGATTTCAGAGCATCTAAAGTGATTTGGGAAAAAAGCTTATAGTGTTGTAACTCTATTAAAAAAAAAAAAAAAGCATGGGGGATTTTTTGTTTGTTTTGTTTCTGTTTTCTGTTGGGTTGTTTGAGTGTGAAATTTCTGGAGTAATGTGTAGAAAGCTGTCAATAAAAGTCCCTTCTCTAAATATTAGTGATGACTGGGAAAGCTTTATTTGCTACAGCTGTGGATAAAAAGAAATGTGAATCTCAAAATCATTTATTGTAAATGACTAGGAAAATGCCTTCAAAATCTCTGGAAAGTGGAAAATCATACATAAGATTTACACTATAAACCAATTATTTTAAATTATTTTAGAAAAGAGGAAAATATTTCCTTCTTTCTGAAAAAAAAAGTCTAGCCAGTGGATTTCCTGCAATATTTATTTTAATGGATTTGTTATGAACAGCCATGGCAACAATAAAACAAAATTGTTTGACGTGATCATGAAAAGTAATGGCCCATTCAGAGGCCAAATTTTTGCATATATTAGTCAAGAATATTAAAAAATATGATCATGCTGGAAATGTGAGCTGAGCAGTGTACTATATTAAGCAGAAGAAAAAGTATCAAAATAAGATTATGCAGAGATTTCCTAATTAATTTATCTGTTGCAGTGTTTCAAGTAGAATATTAAAGAAAGCATCTCTGGAGATTAATAGAAATGTATCAGCATTAGAAGTCAAATTTCTAATTGGAAAGATTTCAGAAATCATTTGAGGGAGGGGGTGATAAGGTAATGTTGTTCCAGGTTCTGGAATCCTCTCAGTAACAAGATGAGGCTGCTCAGGGTCTGTCTTGAGGAGAGAGGCTCCTCTCCCCTGCTAGCTCATACATCGTAATCAAAATCATCCCCATGTGCTATCTCGGGGCAACTGAATAAGTTCTCACCAGACCACAAGTGTGCTGAGTTATTGCCATGGCTTACTGATACATAATTGCACAACATCCTGGGTAATAGAATCTGGAAGAATATTTTTTTTTGCTTTGCTCGTCTTGTAAAGCTGAGATAGGAAGGGTGTTGTTTAAAGAGGTTCAGCTATGCCTAAGGCTCTGCAGGTAATTTCAATAGAATCCTTCTCAATATTGTAATGAACAAGTTTTTTCTAATTGATACAATAATAAAAGAAAACCTAAACCCAGCATGTACTTAATGCCATCTTTCTGAATTTCTCCAGTAAAAAATGCAATGGCATGGGGCAGACTTTGTGTTGTTTGCCCTTGATACAAAATTTTAAAATCATATTTTTTGAGCAGTTGAGTGCTCATCCGAGGATGTAACCCTGATTAAATTATCAAATATTTGGCATTTCTTCAACTAAGCACATGTGGAAAACAGTCTCACAGGAAATACTAAGTATTGTGGAGACAACACAGCAAATGGTTCTAATTCTCTCAGTTCTGGAAGGGCTGATGCTGATTTCTCTCACAATGGCTTCCCCAATTATCTGAGGACTTTAGAAGTCTTTCAGAAGTTTTGATTACAGCCAATGGCATCCTAAAGTAGGCCAGGGATAAAAAGAGTATCTCACAGTTCGTGAATAATTGACTAGGCTTCTGTATAACAATGAGGTGCCTTATGAAAGGCAAATGTTTGTTTGCTGTGTGCTCACATCTGCACCTATTTATTCATATTTATAGGTAAATTCATATGCTAATGCTTTTTCAAGCACTAAGATACAAAGTGTCTGCTGGCATAATAAGGTAGAATGCTGCTGAAATGCAATGGAACTGTACATGTTTATACCAGTTTTAAAATTAGGTTGCAAAAAATAAAACCCAAATTCAAGGATGTGTCTTGGCATAAGTACATAGAATATCAGGAGTCCTCTCTGAGCCATTTCATTCTTCAGATCTCTCCTCTTCTTAAAGGTCTGGAAAAAACAGATGCCAATAAATTGAAGCATTTGCTGTCTAAAGGACAAACTTATGTTTCTGTCCTCTTGCTATTCAGTGTTCTCTAAAAGCAAAGACTTTTCATTCCTGCAGTCTGTGCTGAAGCCTATGAATTCATCTCGGTTCTGAAATGTGTGAGAAGGCCTGATGAGCATCCTTAAAGATAACTAGCATCAATCCCTGGTATTTGATGGTAGTTCCCAGTAATAAGGAGGTCAAACCATTCCTCTAGAATTTCATCAGCTTATCTGCAAAACCTCAAACTCACTTTCACACTGTCCCAAATTGATATCCAGTGAAAAAAAAGACTGAAGCCATCATTTGTCTGAACCTGCTCATTTGTTACTAAAGGAAGTGTTTTGGAGTATGCATTAGATGACCTTTGATCTAAAAAATATTCTCATCCTCACAGGGAGAGGTCTGACTCCATGACTGGGATGTCTAGTTTGCCTTTTTTTAGGAATATTTCGAATGTATTGGATCTAACTGATACTTCTCATTGCAACAAAATATGAGTCTCCCATATATGCATATATACACATATAAAAATATATTTTAATAACCACGAACAAACAACGAAAAAAAAAAACTCCACCAATCTTTGAAAACCTTCTGTCAATCAACACAAATTATCAGTTTCATTGTCACCAGCTGTCAAAAATTCAGGTCATCTGCAAAATGCAGATTCCATGACTATGCTAAAACCCACACCAAGATGATGACTTGGGTTGGTTTGGCTTCTTTAAAGAGAATTTTTTGAGCACTGTAAGACATTAAAGGTATATAATGAAAATCAGGAAATTGAGAAAACATTTGAAATTAAGACAGTTGTGTTCACCTTGACAAAGCACTTCCTAGGAAAAGACTTTCCTCAGAGGAAGAGAAATGAACTGAAACTACACATATACTAAAAAAACACCCAGGATCCCAGAAGAGCCAGAAGTATTATTAAAAGTGACACTTTTATAAAATAAATAAATATGTCCCTTTCAGACAGTTGGTACTGCTGTTTTTAAGTAAGGTCAAAATAGTGTGAATATTCTATATCTTTGTGTGTGGAGCTTTTCACACTACAAAATTGTGTAGAGCTAATATGTTTAATCAAGAAATAGCTGTGGGAGCAGTGCTGTAGTTTTGATAAAGTCAAGTTGCAACACTGCCAAGATGTTATTTGAAGAAAGTACTATCTAATAAAGATGGTTTATGATGTCCCAAAGTGTAATGTCATTTTTTTTCAGGAAATATGATATTGTCTTTGCTTTCCCTCAGGATAGGTGAAGTAATTTCTGAGACAGAAAGTACAGTTGTACAGTTGCCACTTTACAACCTTAGTAGGAAAAGCATAAAAGTTCTACACTTTGTAATACGTATACTTGCAGAGGATTTAATTATATACCATGTTTTCTTCTAAAAGTCTTAATAATTAAACATATTGATACTGTAGCCCAATGGTAGGGTTTTAAAAGAAATCACTTACTTTGACTGATAACATTCATCTTAGATAGTGGCAACAGGATAGTGTCAGTAGTATTATGTCGCAGTGTCGTTAATTAAGCCTAATTATTTTAATGACACTACATTTTCTGCTTGTATTTAGTTTAGACAGCAGACTGAGGGGAAAACTCTTCCTGCTCTAATTTCCTTGGGTTTTTTAATTACTTAGTTTTTTGGTAATGGGAGGTATGGTTGATCCAAATTTAACAGTACTGTATTTCTTGTGCTGTGTCATTAAATTTTGTGTAATTTTTACTAAATTAAGGCTCTTCACGTAGGGGCAGTGGAATCACTGAGTAGTATTGGGTTTGGGACTTTTTTCAATGTATCCTTGAATTAGTAACATAAAATTGCATATGGTATTGTTTATAGAGTTGTCCAAGTACTGGGGAGAAGAGTGAAGTAAACTGCTGTCATAAATTATAAAACTATTAGATTGATATCTAATCTCTTTCTTGCGTAATATAGTCTAGAGGATTATCATTAATCAGCTTCTCTTGGAACTGCAAATTTTACTCTTAAAGTAAAATACTGTCATTTTATAATTTCTTCCTAAGACAGTCATGTAACTGAATACATTTGTAATACTGTCCACCTTTAAAGAAAAGCTAATAGCATCCATTGATTTTGTTCACAGATTTTTAGGCGTTGTTGGTTGGTTTTCAAGAAGGCTTCCAGTAAAGGACCCAGGAGGCTAGAAAAATTTCCAGATGAGAAGGCAGCATATTTCAGGAACTTCCACAAGGTAAGTCATGCCTTTCTCTGAAGAAGTGAACTGAAGCATTGCCTGTTTACTACTCTTCCTTGGGAAGAGTGTGTTCTTGCTATGCCCGGTTTGCAAACAATACAGTGTAAGCCTTGCTGAAACCTAATCCTGTGAATAAAGCAGAGTAAAACATCCATAAGTCTCAGTGGTGCAGGTGAGATGTCAAACAGGTTTTTTCTGGATGAGCACAAAACCCTCAATGTATTTGAAGCAACAGAATGATGGTTTTTAGTTAAACACTTGCAGTTTGGAGATGTGTAAAATTGGCTGCCTATTCAAATGTTTAATCAATAGTTCTTAGCTAAGTATTACATAAATTCTGAAAACGCTAAATGCCTCAGTTGTAATGGTGACACTCTTCAAATGTGTAAGGTTCTTCCCAGAACTCAAGATTTACAAGCTCTGTCAACAAAAAAGATTTTTAGCAGTAAAAAGTCAGGATTCACTGAATGAGATACTCTCTGCTTTCTCTATGACTCACACTTCTGTGATGGAAAACAAGATATTTGAGCATGACTTCTTTCTGTCCCATAAGTTAGTGTTATCAGCCCCCCAATTCTGTCAGTAGACTTCATGCTGCCTAATCCTAAAACAGGGTGGGGATCTGTGCTTGTACTGTTGCCTTCTATCAAGTCACTGTTAGCTTTATGACATACCAATGTTAGATATTCCATTAAACCTGTCAAGTTGAAACACAAAGATGACTTAACCAAGGGCCACGCAGCAAGCAGTGAAAAAGTGTGAATGGTATCCTAGATCTCTCAAAGGCAGGTGTGATGTGTTTACCATAAAACTACAAATTGGCCTTTAAGTTCCAGTGGCCAGACTGCTCTAGCATGGGTTCCCCCGTGGGGACACAAGTCCTGACAGCTAACCATCTCCAGCATGAGTTCCTCTCTCCATGTGTCCACAGGCCAGGAGCCTGCTCCAACGTGGACTTCTGATGCAGCCACAGCTCATTTGCAAGGCTTTGGGGAAATTTTTTGTGTTGTTTACTTTTCATTCTTTTTTGAGCCTGTTAAGCCTATAGCATACTTAATGTGTTAAAGGACTCAGAAAAACTTTATATGTTGCCTTTCAACTGTCATAATTGTAGAAAAATAATATAAAATGCAGGAATTGTTTGAGAAGCTAAGAAAATAATGTTGATACTGATGCAGCTGTATGTTGTAGTATTGATGGAAGAGTCACCAGTTGCAAAGGGAAAGGATGGGTGTTACTCTCTGCCATCTGTTTTTTCCCCTCTTTTTCCCCTCTGTGAGGATAGGAAGAAAAGAAAAAGAAATGGATGCTCTTTCCTATTTAAAAGGATAATGTGTTTCTGGCTGCAGAGAAAGAGGAATTGTATCTCTTCACTTGGATTATATCCATTTTTCAAATAAAGCCATGAAATCATTTCTGAAGGTATATTATCATAAAATAGAAACCCAGAATCTTATTCTCTGGCTTGATTTTTTTTCCCAAGGATGTTTTATTATTTCATAGTGATTATTCTCCTCACTTACCTCCATTCTGATAAATAAAATAGTGGTGAAGTAGATGTGCATGAGTTGTGAATAGTCAAGCGTGACTATTGAGGGAACAGTGCAGGTTGTTACAGTATCAAATATAGTTATTTGATTGTTGGTGTTGGATGAAAATACCCTGATTTTCTTTGTTTCTTTTCTAGAACTCTTCATTGGTTCATTATATTTTGAAGTTGTTCAAAATGCATATTTATCTCTAGTCAGGGCAAACTATTAGTTCTGTCTTGAAATTCTCCATTTCCTTTCTCACTCACAAAATATAAAGAGGGTATATGGTATAAAAAGTTGAAGATTAACTCTGAACACTCAGAATCGATGAAAAAAAAATTAAATATTGAAGAACTGAGACTTAGTACTTTTAAAGAAAGATTAAAATAGAAGTTGCAAGCCTGACTCGTTATGAAAGGGCAACATTAGCATAAAGGCACAAAAGGCTCTGTTTACTTGCTAATATTCATATAAGACTGTGTACATCGACCCCAAGATCCTTTTCCCTATACAAATTCTTGGTAAGTGTTAGGAGAGGTTGGTGTAGAGGGGTACTCAGAATGCACTGTTTCTCTAGCAACTTTCGTCCTTCAGACTTTCAGATCAGTCCAGGTTACCTTGGGAGAAGGCCTAGGAGTAGCACAGAGTTAGATGGTATTGTGCAATTTTTTTAGCTTTCTTATGCAGAGATATAGAAGAAAATTTTGCATCTCAAGTGGAAATACGCCAAAAATTAATAACTTTGATTTATCTGTGTTCAAATCAATATTCAGGACAAACAGTATCCCGATATAAGTAACCCATCAAGGTCTCCACTTTTCCATATTTGAGCTTGAAATAAGGCTCAAATGAAATTCCTCTTAAAAATAATTTACCAAGATGACTATATATATTTCCTATACTTATGTAATACACTTGTGTACTGGGCAATATGATTTATAGAAGGGGCTAAACAAAGGAAAAAAAAACAGAATTGGTAACACAAAGCTAAGATAATTAAAAATAGCAATTTTCTGGTTTACGTATGCTAAATAAATAGTCATTAATGAGTAAAAAAGATGGCCTTTTAAGAAAATTGATTTCCCACCCCCCACCCCCGCCCAAGTATCCAGACTATTTATGGGTTTATTTGCTATTCTATAATTCTGTAAATTGCGGTTGTGCATTGCTTTGGTGTTGGGGTTTTTTTGCTAGTGATTTTCTTACTATAAATAACAGTAATGACCTTAGTCCTAGACAAGTGCCTCCTAAGAGCAGCAGTGCACATTACATTCGTTAGCCAAAACGTGACCTCATCTGTTCCTTGCAGCTTCTGGTATCAAATTAAAACTTCTCATTACTGTAAATTCAGACCATTGCAGTCTTGCTCAGGTAAGTTTATAGCTTCACTGTTCTGTTTTCCCTCGAACATTCATTGTGGAGGTTGTGCAGAGCAGCTGTGTTGACTCCCACTGGTCCCTCCAAAGAGGGGACAAAATAGCAATAGCTTTGCATCCATGCCAAGGGTGGGCATGTTCTTGGTAGCCACCCCTGCATTGTCTGAAAAGACCAAAAACAGAGACCACAGCTTTACCAACTTAAAAGAGGGCAAAAATAAAAAAGATTTCTTACTTTTGTAATAGAAGATAAAAGGTATATAAAAAGTGAATTTTTCATGCTTTGGAGACATACTGATCAGGCAGTACCAGTGCCTGTAATCTGTTAGGAATGGCTTTCAGGAGCATTGCAGCAAATCAACATGAAGATTACTAGAAATGAGAGATCAAACCTCTAAACCTGGACTGTATCCAAATGAACGAGAAAAAGCATTACGCAGTTGGCCAATTAATTGCTAAGGCAGAACTAGAAAGAGCAAAGTAGAGGTTGAAGAGCAGCTAACCAGAACAGATTCTGACCCATCAGGATCAAAAACCTTGCCAAAGACCCCAGAGCATGAAGAAAATGTGCAAGACAGTAGAAATGAACACTTTCACATTGTGGTTTACTGTGGAGAAAAGTGACATGTTCTGGTGTGTGTATGTGAGAACCAGTTCTATAGACATATCTTTGTGTTCTAAATTTGATCATGGGTAACTCAGACCCAGCTGCACAGAGAACAGTTACTCAAAAGCCCAAATGCCACTTAAGGATGATATAGCTGAATTATTAATGGTAGTCCATAAATACCAAAATGGGAATCAGCAAAGGAGGATTCTTCCATTCCTTATAAAATGTCAAGTTCCATTCATGCATGCTTCTTCTTCACTTATAAGCTAAATAGCCTTCACATGAAGTGAAGGTGTTGGGGGTTGGGTCTGTCCCTGACAAGATATAGCTGTCTTGAAGCAACAAAAGCTTGAACCTGTCAATGTTAGTGTGCTTACCCTTCAAATAAATAAATAGCTGACATCTGGCACAGAGATCAAGACTTAGTGATTTAATCCCCCCAATCTGAGAGATTGTTCTGTTAAGATTGTGTAAACAACAACTATCTCCAAGGTTTTGAGTTTTAAGTTGGAAAGATTAAAGTAGGATAAGATTTTTAGATTTATGTTGTTTTTCCCATCATTATGTTCGATTATGATGTTCTTTATATAAATCTGCAAATTCAAAAGGAAATAAATTGCAAAACATTTTAGCAACAGCTTCTGATCATCAAAAATGTATATGGGACAGATGGTGTTAAGCACATTATATAATATGTGTCCACAAAAATAGATAATAATCAAGAAAAAGAACAGCAGTAGCCTTCTGACTGTAGTTTACTGGATTAAATTTGTGACCAGGGCCCCACAATGGTAGATACCTTACAGTTTTATTTCATAGCTTGATTGTCCTGAAGAAACTTGTGGAATGCAATCCCAGTGATTTATGGCAAGTTCTTGTATCAGCTGCATCAGCATCTTGAACACTTGTTGCCATTAAGGTCTCCTGTGTGCATGTTTGCACAAAAGCACACCCAGACAGTCCTGTTTGGTCAGAGGAAGGAGGGGACAAGTTCTCTTTGTGCAGTAACACAGTATGCAGGAACAATAAGATATTTATTCTTCTACAGCACAGTTCCTAGTCTCTAACTGAGATGACCTTAAACCATGAGATGCTTATTCAGGATAAGTGACTTCCTCATAACTTTGAAAACCACTGAATTTTGCCACAGTTTTGTATGTGCTAGCTCCCACAATTCTCAAATGTAATTACAGCCCTGACATGAAAATTAAAATTACTTATATATGGTAGCACTGTAATAATCATAATCATAAGAACTTCTCTCTCATTGTTTCCACTTAGTTGCCTTTGGGTTGTTCTGGTTTGTTGTTTTCCTTCATGTTCTCTAGTCATTGCCAAGTGGCCTAAATATTCTTCTTGCTAAAGAAATGTGAACTAGCCTATTTTTATTCTAGTTTAGCCCAAGAGTTCTTCTTTGCTGTGGAGTATTTCAGATTCTTATGTTGCTCATGTTCACTACAAAGCAGAAGTTGTGCAAGT